GATTATCATCAATCTCAATAGAGGATGTTGATACTCAATGAAAATGTCGTGATGTTCAAATAACAAAGCAGCTAACAAATTCATTAATACTCATTTTGTAAGTTACGTATGCTCATCTGGTAGAGATTTTATGCTCATTTTCTAAATGTCATATCGATGCATTTTTTAAAGTACTATTTTACATTAATTCACATATTGAAATTCACAGAAGTTGATTATAAATATAATTTAATAAAATTTTATAAAAGAAAAAATAACAAAAAGAAAGTGAATTAGAAGTTATGAAGCGGAGATCAAAATTCTCAATATTAGACTCCTAATACTCAACAGAATGGGTATGATGCTCATTAAACGTTTATTATTGCTCATTCACTAGAAACCGTGGATTTCATCTCAATAGCGGATGTTTGATGCTCAAATATTAAATGTGAATATATAAAACGTGAAATGAGTATCAAAAAGTTCAAAATGAGCATTACGCCAATATGCATGGATATGACATTTAAGTTGTCTCGTGTAATGCTCATTTTAAAATGAGCATTACACCAATATCAAATGAGCATATCTAATTTACGAAATGAGCATAGAAAAAATTTAAAAGCTCATTTAGAATCTCAAGTACGCTTAAATATCAATTTGTATATTCAGTATGCTCAACAGAATAGGTCTGGTGCTCATTAAAAGTTCATTATTACTCAATCTCTAGAAGTCGTGATTTTCATCTCACTAACACCATATAAAAAAATTATAAACATATTTATATAAAGTAATAGTATGATTCATAGATCAAATAAATACTTCAGAAATATGAATTAGTCTTTTAATATAGTAATAATGAGCAAAAGCAAAAGAATAGTTAATATTATAATTACTATTAATAATACGCAGTATGAAACTATATAGGATAAGTAAAATAAATGAACTAATTATCTCAATAAGACAAGTCAGTGAGATGGTTGGAAGGCCGCTTATCCTATTTCATGCCGCGGGATCGAATCCCGTTGGGGTTTTTAATTTTTTTTAGATTGGATTTTTTTTACGATATAGGGACTCTAGTTTCAGAAAACTGATTCTAATTTTATTTCTACTTTTAAAAAAGAAGAAGAAACATAACCAATTTCGAACACCCCATAAGACTATTTTTTAACTTTGGATGTGTTTATTGTTTTGAATATGTATTTTGTCATTTGGATGGTTGTTGATTTATAACATTCCTACTTTTGTACTATTACTATTATCATGTACGAGTACATTTTAAAAGTAGCCGTTTCAATTTCAAATAAGATTTTTCAACAAATGAATGATTGCAAATTAAAAGTGAGCATAAGAGTATGCCAATAGTTCTTGGAAAAGACACGAATAAATGAATGAATCCGAGAAGAATACAATTCATCCCACCACTTGTTTGGATGATGCCTCATCCGTCGAGTGCGTTTGGACCGGCGCAGGCCTTGAGAATCGGGCTCCATACCCACTGGACCATGAACTTGCGGCCCATTACCCCCCTCATGTTGTACGTACTCCCCTTCTGGTCCGTCATAACCTGCCCAATGTACCCGCCGCCGCCGCCGGTGCCGTACAACCCCTCGCACAGATCCCCAATCTCCGTCGGCGCCGTAGGGTCGTCTCCGGCGTACCACGCGTTCACCAGGGGGTTGGATGAAAGCTCCGCCAGCTCGTGCGCTATCACGCTGATCATCCCGTCCACACCCACGTCCCCGTTGGGGGCGGTCAACGCGGCGGCCCCCATGTACCCGGGTACGGAGAACGGGTAGGCGCAAACTTCCGGGCACTGCTTTCCGGAGTTCCCGATCCAAGCGTAGGGCAGGGTGTATCCCACCTTGGAGGCGAAGGTGAAGTAATGGAATCCGCAAACCGCCCTGCAGAAATCCTGAACAGTGACGTCGACGGAGGTGAGGACAAGGTAGATCCCGTTTTTGTGGTCGATGGAGAAGGGCTTGGATCGGACCGCCTCCGCAATGACGTCCTGGATGGAGAGGCGGGTGAGTTGGAGGCCCTGGGAGTAGCGGCGGTCGGAGTACTCGTCGGCGACGCGGAGGGAGCGGGATATGTTTGCGCCGGTCTGGTCGGTGTAGAGAGTGACGGTGGCCCACCACTGGGAGACGGAGGGGGAGGGGGGGTCGGAGGCGGAGATGGAGCGGAGGAAGTCCTTGATGAGGAGCTGCTGGGAGGGGGCCCAGCTGCCGTACCAGACAAGATAGATGTTAATCGGAGATGAGAGGACGGGGCCCATGTGGTAGCGGAGGTCGACGAGGTCCGATGAACCCTCGTACTTGTTGGACACCGTGAATGCTCTGGTCGGAAGCTTTGGATTTGAAATCCCACTCCCCCCTGGTCTGCCGCGTGAAGCAGACTGGACCGGATAGGCCGATACAGCTAAGAAGAAGAAGAACAAACAGAACAAGAGCGATGCAGTGTTACCGGTCATAATGTAGAGCAGAGCGAAAGAGGTGGGGTGCATCAGAGCAATCGGTAGGTAGGAAGGGAGATCGATATATATATATATATATATATATATATCCGTCGTGGCGGTGGGAGGAAGTAGGCTGGCTCCAGCTATAAAATCATTTTCCCCAATTCTTAATATCTTCCAAGTAGGTCTGGTCTATCTTTAGCGTTGAGATCATTGTGCATGCATTCATTGGGATGAAAATATCCCATTTCGACTATTCACCCTACATGTTGTCCAACTTTGAAATAATGTACTTCTCAAAACACTATCCCTCTTTCCCAAATGATAGTCCTATATCTCCTTATTGGGATGTCCCAAAATGATGATTTTGTTTTCCTTTTTGGTAAAGAACTAAAAGTGGGTTACCAATATTATTTGTGCGTGTTGGGTTATTGGGCTTCGTCCCAATACCCGGCCCAGAATAGGTAAGGGCCCAAGAGTAAGGTCAGCCCAAAGAGGAACTTGGTCTAGACTTGAGGAAACCCGAACGGGCAATCGGCCACCAAAGGAAGGACACCGTTCGGTATAACCCGAACAACCCAATTATCCTACTTGGAAGTTGGAACAAATAACAAACATCAGCTTTGTCCATCATTCTGTGGAGTCTAGAGACCGATCGGGGAGTCCGCAAGTGGCAAGTTGCATTAAATGCTAGAGTATGGCGGTAGCAAGTGGAAACATGGGTGCTCAAGTGGCAAGGTCAACAGCCAACCGGGTTCGGCCACGTCATCACCCACCTACCCCCCCCCCCCTAGTATAAATAGGCGCATTAACTACATTGTAAAGGGTTAGCGTTTTGATACTCAGAGCCTTGTATCACCTCTCTAGTCTTTGTATTAGCAATAGCATCAAGGCGCCGTTCGGCAGTTCTTGTGTAATCAGTGAATTACTCCAATACAAATGGGCTTACTGAGTGCAGTCTATTCACATTTTTTATTTTAAACACTTTTACACTTAACACATCGTCCTTAATATCCAAAGTTTGTGTTGGGCTTTTGAATCTGCGGGACTAAACCTCAACAGTGCGTAATAAATATTTTTGCTTGGGGCCTCCGAAATGCTGAAGACACCCCTGATCGTAGCCCATGAATTCCACAACCGTTGTCGCACTCCACCAATCGTCCATAGCTTCTCCAATCCAACGGTCACCACCTGCTGCTCACAACTTCCCTAGCCATTGTTGTGTGTCACCTTGTCACCCACAACTTTCGTCCATCGTCTAAAACTTCTCCAACTGTCACCTGTCACCCACAACTTCCCCAACCGTTGTTGGCCACCACCTGTCACCCACAACTTCTCCAACCACCGTTGTTTTCCGCCCATCGCCCGCAACTTCCTCAACCACCACTGCCCGTCACTCACAACTTCCCCAACCATCGTCTCCCACCTCATGTCGTTCATGACATCCCCAACCACCAACGTTTGCCGCCAGTCCCCTTCCCCAATCGCCCGCCGTTGTCACATTCTCCAACCGTCGCCGCCCGTCCCCCACCACCAAAACATTCCCCAATCGTTGTCGCCCACTGTCTATCAAAAGAAATGAAATTAGGGAAAGAAAATGAGAAAAAAAGAATTCGTTTCGAGACACAAAACCAGGGGAGAAGAAAGTGAACGGGTAGAAGAAGAAAGAAAGAGAAAAAGTAATGTCACTTTGGTGTCCACATTAGTTGATTCAATTGACAGGGTTTTATATATTGCTCTTATTTGCTTAATTTATTGTGTTTACTTTTGATCAATTTTAGTTTGATGTATTGTATTGTTTTAGTGAATTGGGAGACTACATGTCATGTCTATCATCCTAACTACTTTTTGAGTAAAGTGTTTTAACTACTTTTTTTTAATCATAAAAGAGTGCTCGTTATATTAAAATTAAGAACACATACAAGACAACCTTCAGACAGAATTTACAGATCCAATCGTGAACCCTAGGAGTAGACTTAGAGTCAGCCACCTCATAGAAAGAAACATGACTCGCTAAACCTGAAACGGGCAAATTTAGGCCTAAAACGACCAGAATCGAAACTCTGCCCATCAAAAGAACTCCAGAAATCCAAACATTCAAACCAAATCTACTCGGAGTAAAACAGAAACAATTGCTATTAAAGAGAAAATAATACTGAAATAAAAAATTTCCACAAAGCTCGACCTGGTATGGAGGTGGTTCCGGAGGAGGACGAGCTGTTGCAATATGGGTGAATACCAACTCTTTCACTGTCGGGATGGCCGACCAAGGCTTCACGATCTAGCCTCGATACAACCTCTCAGCCGCACCTCATTCATCCGCCAACGCTATATCATCCGCATAGTTGCAATTTCAAGCGTTAGAACACTTAAAATCAGTATAATTTGCCGCTCCAACCCCATATTGATAGGGGCGGCGGAAAATCTCAACTCCTACAAAGAGGGGAGACAGCAGCTAGGGTCCCTCTCTCTTAGTGGAGAAGAGAGAGTTTTTATTGTACAACATTTGTGGGTTCCAACTACTTAATTAGTAATCTCATTATTGAATCATAGTTAAAACATGGGCTTATGATAAACACTATACGAAGTACTAATATACTCATATTAGTATAGACGAACTCTCAATTAATTGACTAACTAAATCATAAAAGCTATTACACATCACATAATAAGTTTATAATGCAAATTCAAACGGCGGTCTGTCCCTGGCGGCGTCTAGGGTTTTGATTTTCCGGTGGGGTCTGTAGCACCTTTCTGCCGGTGGTAAGGTAGGGGTTTTTTCCCCAGGATTTTGAAAGCTGTTTTTTCTTTTTGAGATAGAACTTCAGGCGTTTTTTTTTTCGCCTCAGTTTTTCTGGATTAGTGCGTACAATCTTAGACATGAGTGTTGTTAGTTGGAATTATCGAGGTTTGGGGAATCTTGCTACGGTTCAGGTTTTGATAGATATGGTAAGATCAAGGAATCCGTCAATTGTTTTTTTGATGGAAACAAAGGCCAAGAGACAGAGGTGTGAAGAAGGAAGGGAAGCGCTGGGTTTCAAGAATTGTTTTGCAATTAAAAGTAGTGGACAGAGTGGGGGTTTGTGTTTGCTATGGAAGGATGGGCTGATTCTGGACATCAAAAGCTCCTCTTCATACTTCATAGATTGCAAGGTCAGATTGGAAGCAGGTGAACCAGAATGGCGCCTAACAGGATACTATGGTTTTCCAGAGAGGAGGCGTAGGAGAGATTCATGGAGGTTACTCAGGCAGTCAGTGAACATATCAAATTCACCTTGGATAATCCTTGGGGACTTTAACATTATCGTGTTTGAGAACGAGTGACGAGGCAGGATCCCGCAACCGCAATGGCTACTAAGGGGATTTTGTGAATTTTGAAGGATACCAATGGACGTGGGAAGAGGGGCGAGGAACGGCATGGTGGCTGGAGGAAAAACTAGATCGCATATTAGCAAATGAAGGTTGGTTGGATCTTTTCGGAAGTGTTTATGCCACGTCAGTTGAGGGCCCTTCAAGTGATCATATGATGTTATTTATGCGGGCTGCTACAATGGGATTCAAGGGGTGGTAGGAGATATTTTAAGTTTGAAAACATTTGGCTCAAGGAGGAAGAGTGTCGGTTGGTAGTTCAAAAAGCATGGTAGAATCAAGTTAGTTCTATGGGGCAGAAATTAATAGAGTGTTGCCAGGATCTTGAAGTTTGGAGCAAAAAGACAAGATTGGGTTTCCAAGCAAGAATTGATTTTCTAAAAAAGCGGTCGGCTTATCTTCGATCTGGGGGAGGACAATGGAATGCTGGAGAGTTTCACAAAGTCAAAGCGAGTTTGATCAGTCTCCTTCACAGGCAAAACCTTTTTTGGAAACAAAGGGCTCAAAATATTTTCACCAGGCTGTTAAGCAACGAAGACGCAGGAACAAATTAAAAGGAATTCTTTCAGAAAATGGAACGTGGATAACGGATATGAAACAAATGGGGCATGTTATTGTTAGTTCTTTTGGGGAACTGTTTACATCCAACAGGGGCAGATTAGAGCCAGGTTCGTTGCAAGGTTTGGCGCAAGTATCTGGGCAGCAGAATTTTGATCTTTTGCGGCCTATCACTGACAAGGAGGTTAAGAAGGCGGTGTTTGCAATGCATCCGGATAAGGCTCCGGGGCCGGACGACCTAAGTAGCACGGAAACGAGAAACGAGAAAGGTGAAACGGAAAATGGGAAACGCGAGAAACGTAATTTCTTAAAAATATAGGACACGAAACGTAATTATAAAATATAAGGATATATTTATAAATATTTTTTAATATATGTACACAAGTTTTTCCATATGCACATGTTTTTTTTAATATAATTTGTTTAGTAACCAAATAATAAAATCACTCTACATGTTCGAATTTAGATATTATTTCATATTAGTACATAATTAAACATAAAATGTACGGAGTAATACATTTCTAGCAATACATTGCGTTACGAAATGTAACAAGTGTTGCCGCTGAGAAATAGGGGTGGGCAAAAATACCGAACCGGCATGATACCGAACCGGACCGGTATGGTACCGGACCGATAAATGCGGTTTGAAACGGATCTCAAAATTTTTGTCCCGAACCGGACCGAACCGGTTCCAAACAATGCCATGACCGGTTCTCATAAAATGAGAACCGGTACCGGACCGAACCGGACCGAAGTATGGTTTATTAAATTTGTACTACTATAGTTTATCTAAAATATATTAATTACCTCATCCGTCCCAAATTGATTTGCAAAGCCAACATTTTTTTGTCAAAGTTAATGTTAAGTTCTTGATAGTTAATACAATTTTCATTAATTAAAATTTACATATTTAGAAACCACATTAAAATCTCTCTAAAGTTGCAAAATCCAAATTAAAATATACGAAGTACGGAGTAGTTTTTTTGAAAGGCCAAATTAGAATGTAATTAAAAAGTGAAATTCTAATTAAGTGAATAAAAAGAAATTGTTTGACCAAAAAAAAGATTGACTTTGCAAATCAATTTGGAACGAAGGTAGTATGATACTACGTATATGAAAATTGATAAATTGTGTAGATTTTTGGAGGATAGCTAAACTTTAATTTTTTCTTAAACACCTGGAAAAAGTGGCATTGTTTGGTATTGGTATGGCATGGTACCGCCCCGTTTGAAAATGGACCGTACCGAACGGGTTTGGGTCTAAGACCGAACCGTACCGAACCATTTCAATAGTAACGGTACGGGTACGGGTTCGGCCAAATATTGGACCGGACCGGACCGTGCCCACCCCTACTGAGAAATACCACAAAAAATTCACTATAAAAAATTATTTTCCACCACAGAATCTTTTGAAAAAGAAAAAAAATTGGAATCCGATGTTTCGGAAACGTAGTGAAACGGGTTTCCATTTTTTTTTAATTACGGAAACGGCCCCGAAACGGGAATTTGAAGTTTCCGAGTTTCCGAAACGCTTCCGAGTTTCCGAAACGTGGAAACGTGAGCTATGGAGAGTTTCTGTGCTTCCTAGCGGACGACCTTAACCCGGGTTTTTATCAGCATTATTGGGATATTGTGGGTCCCAATGTAGTTGGTTTTTGCAAGCAAATTATGGAGGAGTGTAAGCTTTCTAAAGAGATTAATATTACTAATCTAGTCTTAATCCCTAAGAAAGACATGCCTGAGCAATTGGGGGATTGAAGACCAATAGCTCCTGTAATGTGATATGTAAATTTTTTTTCAAAAATATTGGCAAATAGGCTGAAAGGATTCTTAAAGTATGTTGTTTCTTGAAATAAAAGTGCCTTCATACCGGGGAGATCAATTGTTGACAATGTCATGATAGCGTTTGAAACACATCATTACTTGAAGAATAAAACATATGGCAAAGAAGGGTGGGTAGCTCTTAAATTAGATATGAGTAAAGCATACGGTAGAGTAGAATGGGATTATCTGAAGGAAGTTACGAGGGCCGTGAATTTTGATCAAAGGTGGATAATGCTTATTCGAGAATGTGTTAGGAGTGTGGAATATTTTATTCCTTTTGATAGAGATGTACTGGGACCTATTATACCTCAACGGGGGCTGCGACAAAGGGGATCCACTATCCCCATATCTATTCATCCTGGTTACTGAGGGGTTGAGTGTTATGATAAGGAGACAAGAGAGCATGGGAAATTTGATGGGTATTTCGGTGGCGAGGGGGAGAACGGATATTGTACAGTCGGGTGTACGGGTAAGAACCGTACATCCATTTTTTTTTTAATTTTTTAAGTTTTAGTCCAATTTTAATAACCCAATTTGAATAGAATTAAATGAATCTAACGGAAGGCCCCCAAAAAAGGCCCAATTGAGAAAGACAGTCCATTTAATTAAAACAACCAATTTTTTTCAGTGGCAGTTTTGTAATTTAAGCGAAAATCATGGCTCCCGCTAAATGAGCAATAATGTAGTTTTGTTGAGCATCTCACATATTGTATTATGAGGCTATAATACATGAGGCTAATAATGAGTATCACGATCTCTACTTCATATCTTCTAATTCTTTTTTTCCTGCTATAAAAACTTATTAAATTATATCTAAAATTACTCATGTTAATTTCAATATGCGAGTCTAATGTAATATGATTCTTTTGAAATATGCATTGATATGACATTTTATAAATGAGCATATCATCAGTATCAAATGAGCATAAATAACTTACAAAGGGCACATTGATATGAAAATCGTAAGGTTTGTTAGTTGAACATCATGACATTTTAATTGAGCATCAAACTTCCACTATTGAGATGAAAATCACGACTTCTGGAGAATGAGTAATATTGAACCTTTAATGAGCAACAAACCTATTCTGTTGAGTATTAGGAGTCTAATATTCAGAATCGTGATCTGTTTCATAACTTCTAATTCACTTTCTTTTTATTATTTTTTATCGTAAGGTTTGTTAGTTGAACATCAAGACATTTTAATTGAGCATTAAACATCTGCTATTGAGATGAAAATCATAGTTTCTTGTGAATGAGCAATAATGAACATTTAATGAGCATCAAACCTATTATGTTGAGTATTAGGAGTCTAATATTCAGAATCATGATCTCTGCTTCATAACTTCTAATTCACTTTCTTTTTATTATTTTTTATCGTAAGGTTTGTTAGTTGAACATCATGACATTTTAATTGAGCATCAAACATCTGCTATTGAGATAAAAATCATAGTTTCTTGTGAATGAGCAATAATGAACGTTTAATGAGCATCAAACCTATTATGTTGAGTATTAGGAGTCTATCATAAAATAATACTTTTAAAAAATGCATTGATATGACATTTAGAAAATGAGAATAAGATCAGTACCAGATGAACATATGTAACTTACAACATGAGTAATAATGAATTTGTTAGTTGCTTGGTTGGTTGAACATCACAACATTTTCATTCAACATCAAAACTCCTCTATTAAGATTGATGAAAATCATGATTTCTATTAAATAAGCATTAATGAATTATTAATGAGCATCAGACCTATAAAAATGAGCATGTGTAACTTACAAGATGGGCATTGATATGAAAATTGTAAGTTTTATTCGTTGAGCAACAAGACATTTTCAGTGAGCATCAAATCCTCATTACTGAGTATTAGAATCTGTGATTGAGTATCATGATGCAAGGTGGGACATAGAATCATAATTTATATTGCACATTTTTATAAATTAAAATTAATGAAAAAGGTCATGAGAAAATAAAGAAAAAAGAAGAAGAAAAAAATCAAAAGAAAAATGTGAAGATAAGTAATGCATCACGAGTTCACGACAGCTAAAACACAAACTAAAGAACGGTGAGTGGGCTTTAGATTATAAGAAAATGATGTGGAGCTTCTTCGGAGTCCCTGGCATGCGATTCGATCAACAGAGCAAGAAACAACTCGGCTCTTCTCCTCATTTGAAGTTTAAGGTATGCTCATTTGATTTTTCTAACATACTCAAATGTTCATTTATGTATGCTCAATTTTTTAACTATTATACACATTTATTATAAACATTATACTCATGTTTAATGTAACATAAAACTTATATTAGTAATTAATAAGCTGAAAATGTCAACACAATATATATTAAAATATAATATTAAAATATACTCCGTAATACTGTATTAAAATATAGTGTTAAAATCCAAGTTGGATGGGACCTCTTGATTTGAGAACTAAAATACTCCGATCCATACAATACTTTGCCTAGTCGCAGAAAGAAGTCGGGGAATCAAACCAACCGCAGAAGAGCTTCGTCGGTCTCGCCCTCCCTCGCAAAAGCAGATGGTAAGGAAGAAGGCCACAACGAAACAACGCCTAACGCACAACCTCAGTCTCCTTCATCCGAACACCCAGCGAGCAAGCAGCGTAAGGAATTCAGCGAGCCAGACCGGAGCCTCCTTCATCAAACTTCAGCGAGCGAGCAGATCAACGCCTCTTTCATCGGACATCAGCGAGGAGCAAGGATGACAGAACTACATAACATTCACCATTGGACTTCTAATTAATTGCAAAAATACCCGGTTGTACGGTATAATTTGCTCCTAAAGTCTCCCATTTGTTCTTTGCTGATGATAGCTACTTATTTTTTAGAGCTAGAACTCAAGAAGAGAACATCATAAAAAAATTGTTAGAGTCGTATGAGACCGTTTCGGGTAGGGGCGGGCAAAAATACCGAACCGGCATGGTACCGAACCGAACCGATATGGTACCGGACCGAAAAATGGGGTTTGAAATGGATCTCAATTTTTTTGTCCCGAACCGTACCGGTTCTAAACAATGCCATGACCGGTTCTCATAAAATGAGAACCGGTACCGGACCGAACCGGACCGAAGTATGATTCAATGATTTAAATTTACATTTATACCCTTACTTTGACTACTGCCTTCACACTTTCACCGTCTTTGCTAATTCATAGGAAGCCTGGAATCGGACCGATATATGGTTTAATTATTTATATTTGTACTACTATAATTTATCTGAAATTTATTAATTATGTAAAATACTACATTCATCCCAAATTGATTTGCAAAATTAACTTTTCTTGGTCAAACAGTTTCATTTTATTCACTTAACTAGAATGTCACTTTTTAATTATATTTAATTTGGAGCTTGCAATCTTGAAGAGATTTCAATGTAGTTTCTGAATATGTTTATTTTAATTATTAAAAAATAAATTAATTATCAATAAGGAGAATTTAACTTTAACATGGTTGACAAAAAAATTATTGACTTTGCATGTCAATTTGGGATAAAATGAGTATGAAAATTGATAAATTGTGTCGATTTTTGGAGGATGAATAAACTTTAATTTCCTTTTAAGCGCTTGAAAAAAGTGGCATTGTTTGGTATTGGTATGGCATGGTACCGTCCCGTTTCAAAAT